GCACGTCGTCCTGCCGTCTCGTCCTGCCGCCGCCCGTCTGATCGCGTCGTCCCGTCGTCGGACGCGGGACGAATCGAGCGCGCAACAACGAGCAAAAAACGTGGCGAACGAGAGGAGCGAGGAGGCCGAAATGAAGTGCGCGCTAGCCAGAGGATCGGGGAAAAACAACGACAAGGAGAGGCCAGAGCGGCGGAGGAAGAAGATGGGACGGATGGGTTCGTGCACGATGTTTTATTTGATTCGATTAAATCCGTGGGTTTCGAGGCGGTCGGTTCTCCGGTAGGTTACACTCGCTTCCAGGCCGCCGCTTGATCCCTCCGAAGCAAAAAGGAACGAGGACGGAATCGAACTGACATTCCCAGGGAGCAACTTCTACCCCCTGGCTCATTCTTCTCTCGTTCCTTCCTCTTCTCCTTCTTCCTCCTCGTCATCTCCTTCTACGTTGTCGACGTCGTCGTCTTTCTCAACCCCGTCCCCATCGTCGTCGTCGTCGTCGTCGTCCTGCTCGGCCGGGAATTGCTTTCCCTTCCATTGTCCTACGGATGCTCTTTTCCCGTTCTGGAATTCCTCTCGGCCCCGTCTTCTGCGCCTTCTACCGAGCCACCCCGACGACAGGATCCCACGGGACTCGAGACCGCTTGTTCCCGTATTCTAGACCACGACCTCATTACACCGGTTCGCTTCCGCGAACGGATTTTCCTCGGCGGATATTTCGTGCGATTCATATTGTACGCGGACAGAGGGTGAATTCGGCGATCTGGAAGCCACGGGCGGGTCACCTGTCGACGACGAGGGGAGGGGTCAATAACAAGTTGATCCGACCGCGGACAGGAAAGGAAATCCGAGAGCGACGCGGACGGGGTGCGTTGCGAACAGTTTACCGGGGACGACGTGGCCGCAGCCGTACGGCTTCCTTCGTTAATTTAACTCGTTACTCTTGGTCCCCGAACACGAGCCGATCGATTCTGGCCAGAAAACGCGAGCTTCCGCTTTCGCCGGGGGCGCGCGATACTCGTGAGACAGGCGGCGGGATTTTCGATGTCGGGAGGCGAAGCGGAAAAAGGCGGAAGAGAAAGGAGAAATCGAAGCGTAACCAGCCCGACACGGTTTCATATTTTTCGACGCATTAACGTCGTCCCGGCGTGTCGGCTCCATTTCATTACGGGCAGCAGCAGCCGCGAGCGCGCGGATTCAAACGGCGCTGCTACCATCGATCGAATTTCCCATTACAAAATTATCCTCCGAGCGGGAGAACTCGGAAACGCGGCTCAAAAGATCTCGAGGACGAGCGCACACGTCATTAGCGAATCTCGACCGTATTGCTCCGTATCGCTCCGGCTCCTTGATTCTCTCGCGGCGCGGCCCGGCGCGCAGCGGCGGCGACGGCGGCGTGTTCTGTTTCACTTCCGACGAATCGCGGGCCGGCTCGAATCCTCGCGAATGAAATCCGCGCGGAGCGGCGCGGCTATTCGACGGCGAGCGGCCGGGAATCACCGAAAAAAACTTGCGGGGACGGAATTTACTTTACATGGATGCCTGGTTACCCGTGAAATGGAGACGAGTACTCCCGACCGGCGGCCGCATCCCCGAGGTGGCATTATTAACAGCCGACTGAGCCCGCGCAGCCTGTCCAATCCCCTTACTTTTATCCGCGACGATGCTTCTACCCGTCGACGACTTTTTTTTTCCACCGCGTCGAAGTCGAGCCGAGCCGACTCGGGGACGAGACGCGTCAAGAGGCCAGATTTTCTACAGTGTCTTGGGGGGAAACGCGACGACGCTCCGCGTTCGACGTTTCCCTTACGGGCTGATTACTTTGCGAATTAATCTTTTCCCTCTAATGCGCGCGTTTTCCCGTCTCCTCGTTCCTTTCCCGTGACAAGAGAAAGCTCGACGTGGATCCTCGCCTACACAGGACATCACCCGATGTTGCATTTCAATCGGAGTGCGGCGTGTCTACGGCAAACGAGTTCTGTTTCTCGGTTCTAGGAACAATCGAGTCGAAAGGTGGTCTATAAGTTTGCAGAATTATTTTTAAACGTCGAGCATCGTTTTTCAGCTGTTTCGGCTCGAGCATCTCGGGAACGGAGATTGCAGTCTTTGGTCTTTTCTAGCAGGTTACGTCGGGATATTTTAAATTTCAGGAACTCCTTTCTTGCGTTCACGAACACCTCGGCAAAGGATCTTTTGATTATTCACTCGTAAATTACATTGATTCCCGAGAGTCTCCCGAGGCCCTTGTAGGTTCTCCAGAGGCTGTCGGGAGTTTCTAAGGACCTTTGAAGGTCCGCAGGAAAACCCTAGAGACTCTAGAATCCCTCGAAGGACCCTATGTTGCCCCGAAGGCATACGGAGACCTATAGCTGCAGGCTTTGGGTTCCGAACGAGCACCCAGACGTATCCTGCCAACTCGCTGCTCCGAGGGGAACTGTCAGTTTTCAGTTGCGTAGTTCTATTCAACGCTTTAATCTATCCGGCGCGCATGCAACTTTCGCCCTAGCGAAACCAGATGAAAACCGACGATTCAACTAGTCGATCGTGTAAAGAGTTCCCGTACGACAAATGATTTCCGGTAGATAAATGCTACCGTAAATCGGGGAAAATTAATGGTCTCGGGAAGAGTTCCGCGAGCGCGTTTCGCGAACCCTATATTCGCATCGCTTCGCGCCTCTGTGCGCGACGCACGAGTTCGAAACACCGATGCGAGCTAATGGAAGACGAGTTACCTGTCACACGATTCACGGAAGTATTTCGCGCGACACGACAAAGCATGTAATCGCGCGATTCAATTACCCCATAATAACGCGGGGCGACAAATGCGCGATAGCGCGTACAGATCCACCGCAACAAACGATCGGGGAATACCGTCGGGGCGGCGCGAATATTTCTGGGTGATCTCGAGCGGGCGTCGAGCCGAACCGAGCCAAGTCGAGCCGCGTCGGAGTCTGGGAAATAATAATCGAAACCCATTGATATAGAAAGCGCGTCCTTTGATGTATCTCGATTACTTCGCGCCTATACCGTCGTCCGCGTCGATATTAATTACTAGCAATTAGCGGCGCAGCTAACCCGCCATTATACGCGCGCTAGCGCAAGCGAGGCGTTTCCCGGCGGCGCGTTAACTTCGCAAATTACTCCTTTCAATACCGCATCGAACAACGTCACTGGAACAACGTTTGCGGACAAAGCGGCGGCACGTTGGGGAGGAAAAGGAAACAGCTGGTTCGAAAACGTTCCGTCCGGATAGCGGGTACCCTTCGCTCTCTCTCTCTCTCTCTCCCCGCGCTACTCCTCCTCGAGCGGAGCCGCTCTCCGCCCCTCGTCCCTCGCCGGTGTGGTCCGCGCGTTGCTTTGCCCGTTCTTTCACCCTTTTCCCGCGGCGGCCGGGGCCTTGGGTGCGCGAGCGGATTAAAGGGCCGCGTTAAAATGCCCGCGCCCACTCTTTCCTCCGACATTGAGTCCATTAAGGAGCATTAATCTCGAGGAGTTATCCTCGAGGAGCCAGATATTCGAGGGCTGCCGCCCGCCGTCGCGGCACAATGCGACAATAAAGAATGACAAAGCCCGGAGGAAAGACGGAAAAATCACGGAGGGATGACCGTGAGAGGGCTAAAGCGAGGAGGCGGGCAGAAGTTCAGGGACAAGATGCGCGGCGGGGGAAGAAGACGCGAGGGGAGGAGGGGGTGCGTAAGGAGGGCTCGTTTGTAATCGCGAAACTCGGTTTGCGTTTCTGAGGTCTCCGCGAGATTTCGCCCGGCCACTCGACTCAATTTCCTCTCTCT